GGGGGGGGGGGGGTGTTGTGTGTGTGGGGGGGGGGAGGTGTAACAAGCACTCCCCCCAAAAAAGTAAAAAAAGGGGGACCCAACTTGTGGGGAGGGGGCTATAAGGTAGGCTTAGTAGGCATTCTAAGTCTGAAACTGGAGCAACGAAAAGATTGCTACCAGTTTCAGACTTTGAATGCCTACCAAGGTCCATGCAGTAGAGCGGAGGTTTTAGCCACAACAAATAAGGGATTTACCTTGCTGCTACTTGTGCTGCTACATGAGGAACGACTTATTAAAACTCACAGAGCTATCGTCACATCCTAGGCAGGGTCGAGAGGCGTGTGATCCAATAATGTGTGATCAATTAATTTCCGGAAAAATTCTTGCTTTCCGGAAAAGGACCCCCCTCCCAACCAGAAACCGGTTGGCACGGCCCTGATGAAAGGAGACTTGTTAGGCCGTCTCCACGGCCTCTTTAACAATCTCGTACCCAAAGTACGCCCTTGCCCTGCAAACGGCCTGATTGGGATACTTTTCTCCTTTCTTATGCCTTTTCTCCCTGTAGTTGGGCTTCGAATCCTGCAATATACAGCTTTCTGATTATAATGATTAATTTCACTTTAGATGACGTACAAAATGTTTCTACCTTGAGCCAGCCGACGAAACAGCGCTGTTTTATCCGGTTCAGGTTACTTGCGATATGAAGAACCGTTTTAAGTTAACGACAATTGTAGGGATTGAAAAGTCTATATTGATTTACATTTAAATGAATTGGTTTATACCAAGATCAAGGCCAAGGGTATGTGTCAGATTATAGGCGGTTCTTATATTTACCGTGCAACGGTTTCCGACAAGGCGACAAGATCAGTTTCACTCCAGGCGAATTTATAGTGCATAAAGAGTGTTTAGTGCCAGTTCTACTGTAGAAAACAACGCAGCTTTCATCCAGTCATCCTAACCTGCACAAATCATGAAAGATGGTCTTTACTCAATCTCTTAGTCAATTAGTTAATAACAGTTAAGAACTGACCGAGCAATCCAGTATAGATAAAGTTAGTATAACCACGGTATAACTGAAGACTATAGTTTGGAGCTAGTAAATTACCTCAATAACTTCTAGAACTTTCGAATGCGGTACCGGTCACAGGATGATAAAAGTTAAACTTTATTTTGCTCTACTCTGATATGAAAACTGCATGAACTTAACGCCCTTCGTGATTAACATTTCAATGAGTTTGTTTACACACAAATGCAAGGCCAAGGACAAGGTATGCCTGTATGTCAAAATATGGCTTTACATTTACCACGCAGTATTGAACGGTTTCCGACATTGTGCCAGGCTGCAAGTATGGATTTCACATCAAAACGAAAAGATTGCTACCAGTTTCACACATTGAATGCCTACCAAGGTCCATGCAGTAGAGCGGAGGTTTTAGTAGGAACGACTTAATTAAAACTCACAGAGCTATCGTCACATCCTAGGCTGGGTCGAGAGGGGTGTGATCCAATAACTGTGTGATCAATTAATTTTTTTTCTGCATAGCGACTAGTCATAGACGTGGAAAAAAAAGAATTCTTAAATTTCTATCCCAGTTGACTCAGCCACAATCTCGTATCCAAAGCCACAGTGCGCCAACTGAACTAAACAATAGTCGAACTTTGTTTAGTATTTCCTATCTTGATCAAATTAACATTTAAATGAGTCTATTTACACTCAGAATAAGGGTAAGAACCAAGGCCAAGGGTACCCGTCAAAATATGTTCCTATATTTACCATGTACTATATATAGCAGTACTAGTGTCTAGTGGTTACATTGCCGACATATTTTCAGATAGGAATTTCGTCGTAGTTCACAGGTACTGAAAACTGAGAGTAGGGCGTTCTAGACTGATTAAGTCTTAGATTTCAATCAGTTTCAAATGTGGAACAGATACCACAAAAACCTTTAAATTTGAACAACCGTCAATTCTCCCCGCCCCCTACTCAGTGCCATTTTTCGTCAGATTTGATGCGTTTTGGTATTTCAATTGAGAAAGCAACTGAGTTGTGTGTGACAAACTGTATAAATCGACTTACAATCTAAAATGGCATATTTGAAAGTGATTGTTGTTCCAAGTCTGTCTCAAAAGATTTTTACCGTATTTACTCGTTTGAGCGCCGCCCCGAAGCGCCGTATATGAAAGCAAAATTATAAAAGAGCGCCGCCCTCGAATAAGCGGCACACTTATTCGCGCTTCACTAAAGCACCGTCTGAAAATCGAGGTTGCAATCTTTAATAAACCTCGCAACTTTTTTCTTCTGCATTTCAGTATTTTTATAATTATATTTATTACTAATATTTCTTGTAATCGTTTACAAATAAGATATTTTATAAAGAGCGCCGCCCTCAAATAAGCACCGCATCCGTTACACTAAAATTTCTCCCACCCGCATTTTCGCGCGGTTTTTATTACTCCCAAATAAATTAAAAGAGACCTTTGGAGAGGAAACTTGCAGCAAATCTAAGTCTTCTTGCGGTGCTATCTCATATGCAGTGCTCTCATTTCTCATTGCCTGGAATTCCTTAGATTCTCGGTAAAAATTCCTCAGATTTAGTAAATTTTCCTTAAACGAGGGGTAGGCATGTTTTTTTAGTAATTTATGGCCTGGATTATTGAGAATTACAAAGTTAGGTTCCCAGAATTTCTGTCTCATTTGGGAATTGGGATTTTGAGCAGCATCGTCAGAAGGGATTTTACATTGTTGGTCAAGGAATAGATTCCTTCGAAAAATTTTTGCAGTCCTGAATGCATAAGACTGCATTTCCTGCGTTTTTAAAAAGTATTTTTGCATAAATACAGCTAAATGTGACTGAATTTTTAAATATTATTTCAACATTTTCAAATATTAGAGACTAAAAAATTCCTCAGAAATTCCTTAAAAATTCTATTTCCTTAAAAGTCTTCTTAAAAACTGATAATTTTCTCAGTTTAAGGAAATTTCCTTAAAACTGAGAACCCTGCTCATATGTAACCTGTGTAGTGACGTAGGGGAGAAGGGAGAGAGAAAGAGATCGACACGATCAAGAGAGTGTACTCGAGTGAAATTAGATGGCTATTCGCACCAGTTCCTTTCTGTCGAGTATAAATAAGAGTGCCCACATCGGTCATTCACTTCTCGCGCCAGAATCTCTTGGCCAGCATTTTCTTCACCTTGGCCTTCTGCGTTCTTCGGTCTCGTTCGCTTCCACCCATGACCCTTGACCCCGAACGCGATCGTCGTTACTCCCTAAACTTATTTAGACGAGCGTGCAAGGGACGGGTGAGAATAGAGAACTATTGCCTATTGGCTTCGTATATATCTATTACAATAACAATGATCTCATTTATATGTAGATTTCCCCGTGTTTGAAATTGTAATGATTGCTTCGTTCCATTCATTCTAAGCTGTTATACAATATTAATTGTCGCCTACAAGGCCGCCAAGCGGTTTAGCAGATATGAATGTGTGAATAATGGTGAACGTGCGTCATTGAAATACGTCAATGCACACATGAAGCTGATGTTAGTGGTGTACGGTACACACTGATGTATTGATCACGGTGCACGTCATGCAGGATTGCATGCAACATTGTCACACAACATTTACTGGTTTTGCACGAAAGAATTTTCTGGCCCGGCCTAACGTTGGAATATACGTAGAACTGGTCAAAAAACGGTAAATTCAGGATTACTGATCTGAATTGCTCTGTGTATTTAGCATCCGGATCCCCTCCCCCCTGCTACAACCGTGTTGACGCGTTTTATTGTGTGTCATTGAATGTCGTCAGTTTTCCTCAATTGCATCGAAAACATGAACAGAAAACATGCTTTATTATGCGTTTGTATGCATGGCCATGGACTTGGTGCATCGGAAAAAAACAACATTTCAATGACAATGGTGCACATGCAGTACCGTTGATCACTTCTACAGTGGAACATAACTGTGACATGCCCACACGTCTTATTTTAGTCAAATTCTTAGAAGTCCGATCCATTTGCCGTCCAGTTCGACATTTGGTATTTTACTATCCGCAGGTTCAGTTATTTTCGGGACATATCAGTGACATATGTAGATCAGTCAGTTGGGAAAAGGCAGCCCTAGCACTCATCCAGCAATTCATTCACATTCTCCAACCTATTTGAGTCTGCTAATTATAGAGGTCCGATAATGTATATATAGTTATTACTAGTACTCATGTGACTATGCACCTTATATCAGCTGTTATGCATAATAATTTGTATATTTACGAAAATGTAAAGGGTAAACCACGCTGTAAAAGGCAGTTTAATTCATGCAGCGGTGCATTGAGAGTTTATCCGTCCAGTATTTTAATAGCGATACGAGTCCATATTCCATAAAGACTCCCTTTGACAATTAAAGGGCTTTTTGATGATTTTCTCTATTAACAAATCTGCGCATATATAATTGCCCGTTTAATCCGTAGCATTCAAAAATTCAATCTTACGATTCGATGATTCAATCTTAGATATCTTACGATACAAGATAGATTCAATTTTTGGATTCAATGATTCAATTTTTGGATTCAATGATTCAACGAAAATGACTCCGTCTTAGGTCAGGATTATTTATAGCCAGAAATCACGGGCACTATATAATTTATTCTATTTCCTACTGGCTTGTATTTCACATTGAAAAACGGCTTCAACTGTGAACAGCCCAAACAAGTCATGCACTCTTGTAGTGATGCTGACTAAAAGCCATTGGTGTTATACTTTAAATACTTTTATCACTTACCGATAGGGCTCTTAATTCGACAGCCTTTTAGGTTTCTAGTGGCCCTCTAGTGAGTCTAGGTCTATATTACATTGTTGCCGTCAGTATTTTTATATATATATCATTCTTGTAAATAAATAAACGGGCGAAATTTCATATAAAAAATAAAACAAAAAAAATAAAATAAAAAATAAAACAAGACAAACTTATATCGGTACGCTAAAAGGCGAATTCGTGCCCGTTGCTTTATTCATTATTTTGTCCAACGCCACATGCAGAGTGACTTGAAGAGGTTTATCACTATGATCACAAGACATACGACTGCCAGGCCAATATGCGATAAAAATCAGGATTTTGGGCATTTGACTCGATTGAACTAATTTTGAACTTTGAAGGATTTTGTAAATGGAAATTACGAGTGTGAATTTTATACATTTATTCTTGAACCAGGACGAGTCTCTGGCAGCAAACAAACTGCATGCTCCTGAGTCCTGGTTAGCTCTAAATAAATGTATAAAAGTTAATCGAAGTTCCTTCAACAACATTCATTGACACTGTTCTTTATTACCTAACATATACTATGTATCGTATTATAAAGATTAATGCCCAGCATAACGTACGAAAGAGAGCCATATAGACAAAAATATAGAAATAAAATTTATTTAGAAGTACTAACGTTTCGTCTTTAACCTAAGACATCTTCAGAGTAAATGAATATAGTATGACAATAAGTTACAAATATGAATAAATTATTTACAAGATGTCTTAGGTTAAAGACGAAACATTTGTAACTTATTGTCATACTATATTCATTTACTCTGAAGATGTCTTAGGTTAAAGACGAAACATTTGTAACTTATTGTCATACTATATTCATTTACTCTGAAGATGTCTTAGGTTAAAGACGAAACATTTGTAACTTATTGTCACACTATATTCATTTACTCTGAAGATGTCTTAGGTTAAAGACGAAACATTTGTAACTTATTGTCATACTATATTCATTTACTCTGAAGATGTCTTAGGTTAAAGACGAAACGTTAGTAACTTATTGTCATACTATATTCATTTACTCTGAAGATGTCTTAGGTTAAAGACGAAACATTTGTAACTTATTGTCATACTATATTCATTTACTCTGAAGATGTCTTAGGTTAAAGACGAAACATTTGTAACTTATTGTCATACTATATTCATTTACTCTGAAGATGTCTTAGGTTAAAGACGAAACGTTTGTAACTTATTGTCATACTATATTCATTTACTCTGAAGATGTCTTAGGTTAAAGACGAAACGTTTGTAACTTATTGTCATACTATATTCATTTACTCTGAAGATGTCTTAGGTTAAAGACGAAACGTTAGTACTTCTAAATAAATTTTATTTCTATATTTTTGTCTATATGGCTCTCTTTCGTACGTTATGCTGGGCATTAATCTTTATAATACGATTACGATTCCCGCCTGGTTCATCACTTGCAAGTATACTATGTATCATTTAAACACATGATATGTGTTGTTCACACCCGATTTACTGAAGAGTTGGGGAAAGATAAGTTGCTTACAGCCGGCCCTGTGCAGTGGTGCACTGACCGTATATAGAGGAGGAGGATTAAACAGTAAAGACAAATACGAGTTATTCCTGCATATAGTGTAGTATTTCAGTCTCTCTCATTGCCAAGCGTTATACCATGGCAGTATGAGCTTATTGACGGTGGTGTGTATATTATACTGTATAAAATATCTGATATTGTTGAAAGTGTTTTGATTACCACAATTCCTGTCCAATATTTCAATTTTTCTATATAAAACATGGAATATACGTCAAGCACTTAATCTGAATGAGGAACCCGTCCCATTTTTTCACCGTGCATGCATGCTCAAAATCATAGTTATAATCGCGGCTTCTGATGAACTGCTGACTTGGGTGTGACCGACTATAACGAACCACTCGGCTTCACTTAAAATTCCGGTTACTTGATGAGAGCACTTAGCCTTTTCCTTTAGCTAGTCAAGTGCATCGTGGGTGATGTCAATAAGACGGAAATTCAGATAATTCTTCCCTAAAAACTGCTGATTAAACATTATTGTAGGTATAAGAAGCTCAAGTGAAGAACATGCATATACGTGTGCGTGCACGCATGCCACCTGAAATAATGGTGGACATTGGACATATGTTCCGACCTGATTACAGTCAGTCTTGCCCACCAAACGCTAAAATGATCGGGCATTTCTGCCGGACAAAAAATCTGATTCAGTCTGATATATGACCCCGCAAATAACTCACAATTGCTAAATGCTAATCACAAATGTATTCTAATTGATACTGTATTGTGAATGAAATCGAAAATGTCCGATCAAATTTCATTTTGGTTGGACTTTTTCGGTAACTTTTGATCGTCATTTCGAGTGGCATTTCAGAGAATAACACGTTGTCAATAATATTACTCGGGGAATATTATTCAATTATTTCATAGAAAAGTACAGGTGCATGCATGCATTACTCGATCCATTATTAGCCACGAGCAAAGCGGAAAAGTCGAATACGAGCGCGAAAGGCTGCTGGGAATCGCTTTGAAAATTCGTTCATTTGTTAGCGATTCCCAGCAGCCTTTCGCGCTCGTATTCGACTTTTCCGCTTTGCTCGTGGACAACCTTAATTGAAATAGCTGCATGTATATACCAATAGGCAATAGGTTTGTCCGCGTCTTCGTCATAGTTTTATGATGCCCAGACAAGACATAGAAGTTTAAATCCTGCTTGGCAACAGGATCAGGATTGAGCAACTCGAAGAAAAAAATTAGTCTGACATGTAATACTGTAGATATCAGTGATTTTCAGCACGACCGTACACGGAATTGCCATTGGCAATGATCGAACTTTGGAGCCAGTTTGACTGGAGTAAAATAAGTCAGGATATTAGGATTACTGACAGCTGTATTTATACATGAATATACAATATACATGCTGATATGCATAATGCTAAACGTCAAGAGTTGCAACCTTGAAAACAATATTGAAAATTATTTGACCGTCATATTATGAGTTAAAGACTGAAATTAGACAAAATAATGTGATTAAGAAACTGGACGGCAACGTGCAAAGCTCCACGACAACCGTCACTTTCATATGGTGTTACAAGGAAACAGACTATAAGATCATGTTTTGCTTCAACCTAAGCAAAGGCTAAGCTATACTAAACTGAATGAGCAGGACTAGACCAATCACGATGATATATATATAGATTAACTCACAATGTCAATGACAATGTGTAGTAACCCTATCATACCACAACTAAACTCTGTTCGCATGCATTTAATTCAGTATAAAGTGACAAATTGTGACTAGGTATATAGATGTATACTTTGACTTGGCTTTGGCTTCTATAAATTCACATATGCCATATCATATGGTTGGAAGCTATATTGTGAAAGCGTTAACATCATGGCTGTCTTAATCGCGTTAATATATTTTAAGCATTTTTCATTTCTACCCATCATTGAAGACAAAGTTCCAAATATGTAACCGCCAATCGGTTTGACTTGCAGAATATACTCAGTTTAACCGCGCTATAACTATATAAACTGTCAATTATCGTTAGTAAGACGTGCATTGAACAAGCAAAAAACGTGTATTAATCCACGCACTCAGCTCGGCCGTACAAACCAGTGCCCTTTGAAGCTGATACTTTTACATGGCAACTATAATATCAACTATAACTATAACAGCTAGCTCGGCCATACAAACCATTGCCCTTTGAAGCTGATACTTTTACATGGCAACTATGATATCAACTATAACTATAACCAACACAGCAAATATCATAAACAATAATTGTTATAAATATATGCTTTGCTGCATGTTTATAGCAGAAGAGTTTGTGTTTGCAGTTTTGCACGCCGACAAGCGAAATGCAAATGATAGTCTATATAGTACTGCTTAAAATTGCGTCTGTTTGACTATATGTTAGTTGTGATTGCTGAAGACATGGCAACTTTTAGAAAAATACACAATGGCCATGGTTGTTACATGCTTTGCTGATAGGCTCTATTCTCGCGTTAATTAAGTTTTTCTGTGTTGGCAGAAGTGTTTTTGTTTGCAGTCTTGCACGCGCAAGCAAGATGGTGCAGACTATATGACCTATACAGTGTGTATCAAAATAATTCGAATCCAAATTTGGCGTGTAATAACGCAGAATATATTTGACAAATTCGGTTGGTTTTTACACCATTGTTAAGTTCATTTACTTACCTTTCAAATGACATGCTGTACGCGTCATTTAGTTGGAAAATGAAGGAGTATTGCTTTGACAAAAAAAGTCCATAAAAATCACAATTTTCCGCCGATGGGAATTGGACATTTTTTCTTTCAAAGTTAGTCCCACAAGGCTTTGAAATGCTAATCATCGCTGAAAACTAAAATGCAAATTTAACGCGAATTTCTTCTCGTTCAACATGTTGAAGGCATAGGAGCTTAAATCTCTTGAAATGAACACGAATTTATATAAATTTTGCTACATAACAGTTTGTTGATTAATTAAATTTGCATTATCTTTTGTTTGTACGTCTCACTTCGAATTCCCATCGGCGGAAAAATTTGATTTCGAGCAACCAGTTTTACACACGATTTCTTGGTCATTTTTTATCTTATTGATAGAAGAACGCTATAATCGGAAACCTAATAGGCTATTCTTTATTGCCATATAAAAATTATATGGTTTACTTTAGTATTTTATAAACAGCAGTCTGTCAAATTTGGATTCGAATTATTTTGATACACACTGTATAGATCTGCCGTGATTTCATCAGAAAGTACATAGAAAAATCCAAAGTAAGAATTATGCAGCAATATGCATATATTAACTGACACATTTGCACAGAGTCAAGGATGTTGTATACGATTACAAAATCGAGTCGACGCCCGGCCACAAATCCTGATATTTAGCCGCATACAAATCTGTGCATGATAACCAATTTAGGCAAAGTCAGTGAAGGTTATCTCCTTCTAAACATCTCTTGTAGTCTGCTGCAAACTGCGCTTGGTATATTGAACTACTGAAATGAACAATATTGAACAAGCCTGACGTAATTACTGGAGACTGAAGTAGCTAGTACTCGGCGACACCGTGGTTACTCGACGAGACTTTCCTTTTCTGCGACGGTGTCAGTATATTCAGTAATTTCCACATTATATTTGTCCTCATGTTATTAGTATAACTAATTGCCACATTCCTCATTCAAATGGGAAAAAAGTGAGTTTCATTGTGATTCTACTGAACACCAGAGGTTTTTGTTTGCATGGTATACTGCGTAATATACTGCGTAGATTCCAGATCAGTTGGTTAGAGCGCTGCACCGCTATCGCAGGGCTGCAGGTTCGATTCCTGCCAGGGACCTAAAGTTGCATTTTTCGCAGCTGTCCCTGATTAGGTCTAATAAATCTGTAGTAAAAAAACTTACACTCGATAATTTTCATCTACAAAACTCTTCAACTATACTGGATTCCTTCTGCAGTAACATGCACTGAACAGTCTGAAACAGTATAAGCGATGGCCTTTACCGGACCATGTAAAACTAGGGAAATGGGTATATTGCCTAATGCAAATTAAAATGTATTATAATTCCAGTTGGCAGTTATGACGAAGTTACAGTATATATCAAGTATACATAATTATAAAGTTAGTTTAGGGTTGTTTATATGCATATGCTATCCAGGATTTCACCTAAACTAAAAGGCTAATCTGAATAATTTCTATCAACGTTATCAGTTTAGGAAAGTCTTGAAGTCGCTCTAGCTGTTAGTCGGATTATCCTGTCTCATATAAGCAGGCCTTTAGTTAAAGTCTGATACTCAGGTTAGCCTTTAGTTAGTTCCAGTGGCAATAAGACTAGGCTGTGCGCTAGAACCGAAGAGCGACTCAACTGCCGTAAGGGCCGAAGGACGCTGATAAGTGGCGTCCCAAGTAATATATGTGCCGTGCGTCTGCCTGAAAGTTGAAAACCACATTGTATAGTTATCAAAACCTATGCATGACGTTCATTAAAGTCGATGACAGAAGGCGTTCACTTTTCGTCAGAGAATCCGTAACAAATGGCCTTGCAAATTTAATCGACATTTTTCACACGTTCCTTGGCTACATGTTCGTCACCTGCGGTCCTCCAGAAGTTTGCGGGAGTGCCTGTTACGTCATTGTTCTCGTACAGGAAACCCATTTTTTTTTGTCACACTCGATCTGCCCTGTGGCAATTTACATGACTAAACAGCATGCAATTCAAATATACATTGTGTTTTGTCCTATTCATTTGTACTATTCCCAGACAGTTAATGAGCGTGCAAGGAAAACATAATAGCCAGTAGAGCTATTAAACTGAGCTGCCAAACGCGCTCAGTTGCCACAATTAGTGTACAAAATTGTACAAAAATAAAATTTGTACAAAACAACCAGCATGTCTGACATATTTTGATTCTTAAACTGCATGTGTAAGCGTGTAAGGGATGAATCGTGTCACGAAATTTTTTTCCTGGCCATAAAAGATCAATTGAATGAACTTTATACTGTTAATTACTGGAATCAAACTGTAGTTAGTTCAACTTTGAAATATCATTTTGAATGTTTATCAAAGTCGTGATAAGAGCTTTACTGAACAAATGATCTCAGACCCAGTTAATTGGGGTAGCCTGGCTCTATGTGAACATCCCCGCTTAGTGTAAAATGAATTTCCAAATAACATTGGACATTAATTGCTTTACAAGTTTAAGATTAACATCAACATTTCTATAGGAGTATAGCGCAAATTTACATGTAGATATTACGCTTACCTAATTGCATACTTAGCCTAGACTATTTTATCTTTTACAACAATTGTGATATTACGTTCGATATTACTTGTGATTTAACTGTGTTTATCCTAACCCATTCTATCAACTTTCCCTGTGGGAGGAAACCGGAGAACCCGGAGAAAGCCCACGGGTTTCGGAACTGAGAAGCCGCGTTGACTGACTTAACAGACTCCTAGTTTAATTCAGAAGATCTCAGAGGCGAAAGGCGCTTGCTCTGAAGCCCCATAATTAAGAGAAAAGCCCCATATTAAGAGTAAAAGAAGGTAAAACTATAAAGGAAAACAAGAATGAAAACAAGAATGAAATCTGATATAGGCCCGTTTATACTTTGCATGCGATTTGAGGTTCTGAATGTTCAGATGCATATTATACTCAGAGCATTCATAACTCTTCTACTCATAAACATGCATCAAAAGATGAAATCGCACAAGAAATAGCAGATTTCTGATGCTGATGTAAACGAACAGATCAGAGTTACAGATATTCTTCTGAGTATTCATAACTCGTCATTTGCATTTATAAGTCCAGATCATTAACAATCTATATAGCTACAGCTATATGGCCGTATGGCATAACACTGTAAAATATGCCTTGCAGCCAATGCGCAATATAGGTAATTAGAAATTAACCAAATGAAAATAAATAAAGTGGTCGGCAAGTAAAACCAATGATAATGCTGGGTTTATTCAGACATAATAGTGTAGTTAGTGCAGGCTAAATTATTCATCAATTTCTTTCGTGCATAACAAAAAGTAGAAATACAGATCTTCGCTAGCTGAATTTTCTCCCTTCCGAAACTTTGGGTAAGTTGGCAAGTGGAGTGAACTGCACAAGACACAATTGAATAAAGGAGAGAAATTCCGGCAACTACAAAAGTTTAGTGTAAGAGTCACGGACACAGAGATTGTATAGCCATAGAATTAGTCAACAGTCCCAGGGTCGCACTTTAAACCACTACCGTACAACAGAACATGTGGTCAATTGGTAGTAGCATCAGTCTATCAGAGTAAGAAAATATTAACTCCTTCGTTATTCATCTTGTATTTGGAAGGAAATGAATAATATTGACAGATGTGGTTCATTTTGCTTGCTCTTAGCTTATAATTGTCAAAAATTCTATAAAAGTTATCCGCCATATTTGCTGCCCCTGTAATGCCTTTGAAATATAATCCGGAATTGGCACAGAAACTGAACTAATTACTGCTCTATTTCGGCACTGGCATATCAGGATATATTGGCACGACCGAATAGCAAGCAAACTATAAATGACAGTGACAGTGTTGTGGTCGTTGGTTTATGACTATGTAATTTAAATCTAATGTATTTTGGTCAAAATCTTTATTCTTAAGACCAAAACAGATCAAAACAGATTCTCACCACTAGAACCTGCGTCGGTAAAATAGTCAATATTTTGCAATTCGATATTTTATTATTACTTTCAAAGAACACTTAGGCTGTCATGCACTTAACAAAGTAATGACCATATTTGAATACACTCGTTCAGTTTTGTTGTGTGACTCATGAATTCAAAAATATCCTTGATTTGGGTGGCAGCCAGCAGATACAAAAGTTGGCAAACATGTCAAAACTAAACATCCTCAAACGCAGAGCATGCACAAAAGTGTAATTTTTATAGCAAGCTTTATAATTGTGTTCGCGAATGCGATACTTGGGGTTTGTTTTGAACCGTGGAGTTTTGCACGGGCGGATATTGTTCTGAGCACTGAATGCCACGTTTCTTAAACAAAGAAGCACGAAAACAACATTTGAATAATGACACCACCCGTTGTTATGTTTCGGTATCTTATTGTTATTACCGTGCTCGATTCTGATTGGTCGCCATTGACGTCACTGCTTAATGGCACAATGGTAATGAGTATTTACCCTGGGTTTTAAAATTTTTTGGGGCTTTCACTGCAGCACATCGTCTAGGCAAGCGCACGAACGAAGTTCCACCGAAGCAAGCCAAATAAGAACATTTGGAACAAAAGCAAGATATCTTCCGGGCTGTTGGACTGATACAGACTATATAATGACGGTAGGTTTGAGACATTTGTATTGAATATGAATCAGGATTTATCACTATTCACGGTTTAACGAAACTCGAGAACTTCCAACAATTTTGCCTATTTTTTTTGACGTCGAAGTTCTTTGCTCGCGTTACTAAAGTATAAGCTTTGTTGTTCTTGTATGTAGTATACGAAAATACAAGCGAGGGTTATTTTAACTTAGAATACATCGCGACATTCTGTTAATTCGTTTGCTCGAAATTCGTATTCTCATAATTTAATATGGCAGGTTTTGTGGAGCATAACAAGAAGCATAACGCACTATCCCCAGCAGATCAAAACTTATAGAAAGCTAGCAAATATACGCGGCAATGCCTGTTCAAAGAAATATATCACAGCGTGGATATCCCTCTTGTAATATTCAATCCCCGGAGCTTTGCAGAAGGGTTTCCTTGAGAGCTTTGCGTCACATACCAAGTAGCTATAATATTGCTTCCAAATATTTCTAATGGGCTTCAAAGCGTTTTTGCACGAAGTGTCAAATCATGTAGTTCGCAATTCGTTTGTAATATCTAACTTACAACGAAAACAATAGATATACACATTAATCATTATGAATTTATGTCTGGGTTATGCTTTTTCCGAATGATCTAGCCTTGTATTATTGTAATTCTATACTTGACTGTTACAAATAAAGCGATGAGTTATTTCAGGTCTCGTAATATGAGCGTTGTAATATACAGTTACAGCAAACAAGGTCAATGCCAAAGAGGATGGGCTGCAGTTTTATTAGATGACACAAATTCTGCAAGTTAAACGGTTGTTAGCAGCGCTTTGTACTAAATTTCTGCCTCTCAGAATAATCCTAGCTATTTAAAAATAGCTAAAATTCATACTTCACTCTTAGACTTAGTTTAGGGATTCTAGGCTATCTATTTTCGCACACTGAAACTGAGCTTAGATATAACATTTCACAGTTCCTATCCTAAATTAAACCTAACTCTGTTTTGGCCAAGTTTTAGTCGACCGAAGAAAAATATAAGCACGATAAGCCACAAGTAAACATCATCCATCCTGCATTCTGATTGGTCGAGCGGTTGACATAAATAGAACTTTAATTTGACCCGTGTATTGTTTTTCCCTTATCAATCAACGGAAGTGTGGACAATAGGTTTGGCTGTGCTGGCAGATTTATTTTTCGCTTACAGTGACAGAAATTAAATCGCTGACATTATTACTTCAAACAAATTGCAATCAGGCTTTCGTATGTCGAACTATGTCAAATGTTTTTGCTGTTTGCTATTGATATACTATGCATATAGCCCCTTTAATATATTGTAGTCGAAAACCTGCTTTTAAATCCCAGTAAGAATGTGTACCAAATATCATAGAAATGTAGCAATTTCAAAGGGGAATCATCCATTTCACCATTTGGCATCAAACCAATGTCTAGATATTAATCCTGCAGGGTAATGAGTTGGCGAGTATATGAACGGTCGTTATATTGCGGGCGTATAATAGAATATAATACAAAACCACAAAATTACCTTTCAGGCTGATGATGGCCTTAGCACAAAACTAATGAGGAAAAAATGACCATCAAAAATGCTTAGCTGTGAACTTTTCTGCAATGGCAGTAAACCGGAACGTACTAGAATAAATATATAGACTTATATTATTCATTTATAGGTTCTGTCTTGCAGGGAACTGTATTGAAAAGGCACCGTGCTGGCTGCCACATAATTTGGTCGCATTTGGGGGCGACCACTTGTCCACATTTTAATCGAAAAGGAATCCCCTGGCATTGCTAGTTTTTCCGGTTAAGCTATGAAAGCTTTGGTATAAGTATACAAACTAGGAAATGAGATTTGAAAAAGAAAAAAACAGCCCAAAGGCACAAATTATATTCGAATGAAAGAGGAAACTATAAGAAAAGTATTTGTTCTAGCAACAAAAGGACACTGCATGATGTATCCATTTACTAATGAAAACTAATTTCCTCAATTTTGCTTGGCGCATTTCCAAATTTGGTCTCTAACTAGTTTAGTTACTTATAATTACGTTTTGAAGTTTTCTACAAAGAAATCGGTCCTAGTTTAATGCCAGATGGGAAATTAAGAGAAATAGAGAAAACAAACTCGTCGTTTGGGGAAACTGTGCCCGTGGCGAGCCCATTAGCCCCATATGCGAACTTTTTAGATGATAGATAGATTTGACTCTCTGGATTTGACTGTAGATGAACTGTACTTTACTGCATGAGGTATGCCTCCAACTGCCCAGGAGCTACCGATCTGTTTTTATAAACTTTGTATGGATATTATCATAAGTATTAATCTGATACAATAAAAAATCAATCTGCATTTACATGACCGTTGCAGTGTAATCAGATTCAAAGGCAGATCACGTACAGGTACAGCAATGACAAATAAGGCCAACTCTTTCAGCACCACTGCACCAGCAGTTTATATGTTTATATTGTTTATATTTTTGTTTCTTTGCATGGATTAATGCTTAAAATTCCATTATTACGATTGCAGCATGAATAGTCATTAGCTACCACAAAGGAAAACTACACTTTAAGAGAAATTTTAACAGACGATCTGACTCATCTGAGCATGCATGAGGCAATAAAGAGGATTTATTTTGGATGTACACGATAATGTGGACGTAGGATGGCATCAACATCAATAACATGCATGCGGAATTACGATATGGAGTTGAGCAGATCTTTATAGATGTGTTCATCTCTTTTCTTTTAATAGTAGCTAAATAAAGTAAGAGGTTTCCCATGTTTTCTGTTGAACCTGGTATATTATTTCTGTTATTCCTGTTGTGGTTTACCGAGAATGGTTAGCCCACGCATCATTGCACACCTGGATATTTGAACTGTGCCCTTCCAGTCAGCAATATTATAAGGCTATATCTATATCACTTCTGTTTTAGGGCTGAGTTAGAACATTACCTATTGGCTATTGTCTGCAATATTTCCAAGTTTTTAGAAGTTTAAAGAATATACAGGATTTTATATGCGCTTTAATTTCTGCGATTAATATCACATGAAAAATATTAAACTTGACATATAAATTTCATGTGTTCCTGAATCGCAGGTTTTTAATTCATGTCTACTTCCTCCTGCAGTGTACGTTCTTGTCTCATCCTACGTCCTACACTGTCACTGAATATATATGATTTGTCAATTTGCCCTCTTGGCACTATGAAATATATATTGGCATTGAAACTGGAAAAAAGCGGTGATTTTATAAGGTTCTCTCTGCTTTGCAGATGCCTGTTTTAATTACGTTGGGTTATTAATGTTTATAGTTTGCAAAAGAAATCGTGCGCTATTGACGTATTGACTATTGTAATGATTTTTATAATTCATCATTTATTTCATGATTCATCGCAAGTGACATGGCCATGGGCATGAGTCTAGATAATTTATCAATTTCTTACAGTTGCCAGTCTGACACGAGGTGACAAGCTACTTTTCATTAGATTCAAATCTGTGTTTCTGCATGGCCTATTCAACGCAGCAAAGGTGAAGATAGCGAGGGGGTAGGGGTTGCTCTGTTCCTATACTTGGTGCTTAGTATATAATATAATATTCGACATTTGTACGAGATACAAAAGTTCGTTACCAGGACCAAGTGCAATGTGTTTATCTATAAAATATTCAATCTGCATGCTGAAACTGGAAAGTCTATTTGCGTCATGTCATGAGCAAGGCACGTCCTGCTGATGCAAGCAGCAACCAATTTCTATTTCAACAGCTGCTCTGAAAATTTACAATTATTTTCACAAGAAATCTGATGTAATACGATTAGAGTTTTAAATAATATGCTCAGATGACAGTATGTTAAAATTTAGCATATAAAATTTGTATTTGCATATATATGTTTTAGTTTTAAAAGTAAAAAAGTTAAAAAAATAAAAAAGTTAAAAAAATTAAAAAGTTAAGCAATACTTTCATCTGTGATCTGATCTGAGCATATTAATAATTTATTATATAAAATTTCGTAAGAATTGCATGTTCAACTTAATTCAAGTCATCATTAATTTAGGATTGCTGGCTCCTTTGTCAAATTTATTTTGTATGTACTGCATTTAGGGCGAACTCCAAAAATCAGTAATAAAATATCAATATTTATCAATGCAATGTATCGGAAAGGCTTCCTTTCTCGAGGGTTTATTAATGCCAATGGTCGGAATTATGTTACTATATATTTAGTAAAACTGCTACATTAATTTTAAATTTTAATAATGTCACGATAATTATGGCCAAAACGTAGAAAAAAGTGGGCAACTGATTAATAATGGTCCATTGAATATTGCGGTGTTTCTGTCTATGTGAACTGGTCGGCAAAAGCTGGTGTTCACTGTCAAACAAGCTTATCTGTAATGATTATATTTCTATTGAACTTTGGATCAAACAAGCATCTGTCGTGCATCTTTTTGTTATGACGGCAGCGTGTATGCGAGTCTCCTGTGGCGATAAGTGTATTAATGTATGCAGCAAAAAGATTAATTTCATATTTTCAATATTACTTCAATATGTTATCATATGACACAACGTGTACAGATAGAGTTCGGAAATAAAAGCACAAAATCTTTCGTTTACTCATGATGACAGCTTATTTAAAACTCTGCATTTGTTTGCATGAATATTCAATCACTGTTTGCATTTGGCTTCACTCAGTATTGTTTTCACTTGATATTAATCCATCCTCAGTTGCATGAAAGCGTCAGTCTTAGTTTAGAAATCAGTCAATCAGTACATTTTTGAATTTGATTCGCTGTTATTTTCCATCTGGTTTTCATTCTGATTATTGTATTGTTTTCATTGTACTATTAATCTGTCACTGCATCGCCGCGCAGTGTAACGTACGTTGTTCACACCGATTAAAATCCTTTCATGAATACCAAAAATTTCGGTGATGAGGAAAACATGCATATCGAAAATCCGTACACATCTGTTACGAACAATGTCAATGTACAAAAGACCTATTTCACTCCATTCCCTATATTTTTATTACATGTCTAGTTCCAAACAAGGTATTACTAATGTCTTGCACTTTAAAACTTGACATGCACAAAATATATTTATAAAATAGGAACTTTGTGTTTTTCGAAACTTTTCTATGGACTGACATTTGCTTATTTATACATCTTCCCTTGCATATCCTGTTCACTGTTCTCTCCAAAGTCATGTGCACACGAGGGTTCTGTTGTTTACCATAAATCACATGCTGATCCTTTTATTCAAGAACGGAGGTCCATGTCTCGTACTAGCACTCGTGATCATTGGCCATGCATTGTCGACGAAGGAACCATGGAAAATAAAATGTTTGCATTGATTTGCACAATAATGCTTTGCGCTTTTTGCATATTTAAAATAGCCAATAAGCTCTTGGTGGCTTGGTGGCACAGCCACAATTGAAAATCCAATATGATCACGCGCGTAAGAACAATGATAACAAAAACAGCAGGGAGTAAATGTGGCTGCCCGCAATCCGTATCCCAGCTTTATTTGCTCCTTTATTACACAGCAGTACGGCTGTTTTCATGCACGCACGAAATTACTGATATCAATCGTACAGCATATTGCACACAGTGCGTGCGAATAAGAATATTTGGATAAGTTCATAAAATTCAATCTGCATTTTCACACGAATTTCTATATTCATGTTGAACAATTATATTTGCAGAGAATGAATGTGGTATTACTTCTTAACTGTGACGCTGCCAACGAGAAGGCCGGACTCAGACAGGCCCACAATGTGTTGAGACAACTCTGTGATAATGGAAACAAAGTCACGATATTTGGTGAGTGGAAACATTTTGATGCTAAATCCCTGACTTTCCGGTGCCAACTCTTGTTTGGAAAAACTCGACATTATTATATGGCAACACCTACAGTACAGGCAGGCAATTGTACTGGCAAAACAAGGCGACGCATTTTTATTGTATCTTACAAAGTTCGAAGGAGTTCAATATCATTATGGATTGACCTTGTTGCTTAAATCTTCGTGTTAATCATAAATTTATCTATGGATTCCAACAATTGGAGCAGACCTCTCAACTCACACGATTTTGTCATGTGACTCACGATTTTAAGCCTAATCTCTCACGATCTCACGGCAAGACTTCGCTTTCACATGACAATTAGCACTCTAAAATTCATTCATGTTGTACCTATTGTTGTGTTGATCACACATGCATATCATAGCAACTCTGAATTTTTGTTTTTACCCATTATATCTAGAAAGAATCCTATATGAAAGCTCCTATATGATTATTATATTGCAGCTCATTGCTGAAATGTTTGATCTAAATTGTGTATTCTATCTTGTTTATCATCTTTCAAATAGTAAGAAAACACGAAATGTCAATTTCGGGTGCATAAAGTTCGAAATTTTCAGGGAGATTCTCACGTCATAATGCATGTTCAAGTTGAGAGGTCTGTTGGAGGCAAAAGTGAAATATTCTTCTTCTGCATGCTAACAAGAGGATCCAAGTAGATTTTACCTTGCACATCTGCAAATCAATCAATTACATTTCAAGTGGTTTCAGTAATCAAACCAAGAGAGGAAAAATATATTTTAAGCAACATTGTACAGGACATTCTAGCCTTCCAAAAAAATATGGAAGGACATCATTTCAATCGCTGGAGTTAAAATAGGATACTAATCTCATTGTATTGAAAATTGAATAAGTTTTAATGTAGATCCTTTGTGATGTCTATTTGAAATGGTCCCCAACAGAAAACACACACTCATCAATGAGGCACGCCTAAGCTTGCCTAGACTGACAAATACTCAATATGAGATTTCCGGGCATTGTATTGTATTCTTCAGATACTTGTGGCAATATTCACATTGATTATCAATCAGTTTCAGTCGGTGCTTTCAAGAGTTAAACTATATTGATATATGTCAAAACATATGTTGATAGTGTGGCCACTGGACTGCTGATAGAAACAGTAGGAAACAATCTGGCAAAAATAAATTAAGGATTTTATGACGTAGTTAATGTATACAATCATGTATATCTGCACGCAAGGGCTTAGAATGTTTCTACATGGAAGACCAGTGCACCATTTCTATCATTGTTACTCATCGCAAGATACAAGTATCAAGTTTGTTACATGCGATTGCATATCATTAAAAATAAAAGAAGTCATTTTGATACTTTATAACCTTGCTTTGCGCGAAACGTTTTGCGTCATCATTATTGTCAGAAGCACCATTTCTTCAAACTGATAATGAAACTGTTAATCTTGGTTTAGTCCTCGCTAACTAGTTCTACTGATAATTCACACCTTTACAATCTACACGATTTCAGGACTCTGCCTGAATATAATTTTTTAATTACTTTTTTCTCAACAGAATGCAAACAGACGGCAAGATTCGTATTTGAAGAACCAGCAAGCTTACTGTCAACGAAAATCCTGGATCAACGCTTTCCAAAGAGAATTGCTGAGGCAGATGCGACACTGTTAATCACAGATAAAGCAGCTACAGACTGTCCTGCATGTGTGCGCAAAGTGACAAACCTCGACAAAAGTGTCTACGTTTGGAATTCGTGTGGTATAAACTGTATACTGTTAGGTGGCTCAATCCACAGTCGCCAAGCAGCCATGCAACTGCATGCGATCTTGGAGGAACGCAATTACTACCCATATATGGCGAATGTGTTACCCAGGCAGTGCTCGTGGCATAATATGTATAGAGTGGATCAAAGTATGGAAACGGCTGGACCCTGTGTGCTGTGATAGTGTGGCACTTTCCCTCACTCGAGGGTTGTGTGAATATACTTTGCACTTTAAAAGCAACTCTTATATACATCATAGAGCACAAGTTATGTAAAAACAAAAAAAAAATGGACCCATTAACGTGCGGGATCGCGCCTACACGAGGGACGATAGTGTGTATGTTTGTACATAAACTTATATTCGGGTGTAGATATGACAATGTAGATAGGGTAGGGGGATGAAAAAATCATTGGGTTTGTTAAAATTGTTGTATAGTTATGTTAATATGAAAAATATAAATATGTATGCACAATTGAAATGAGTTGTGGACATTTTTTCATGAATATTTTATTTGGTACCGGCGATTATTAAGAGAGGGTTTGTATGGCGCCATCTTTGTAGGGAACATCAAGGAACCGACACTCATCAAAGCAAACACACTAATGGCATATACATTGTTTTCATCCACTCCATGGGGAGAATTCAACAAAAGCATTCTACTTTTTGATAAAATTCAAATTGCCCATGTACTGTTGTTTTTATAAATTACTTTTGTGTCCTAACCAATTCCATTTAATTTTTCTCAATAAATTAATATAATAATTATTTTTTCGGACATGTGATTATTATTAAAGCTACCTCAAAATATTCCAAGGTTTGAAAGTTCTTGAAACGGTACAAACTTGAGAAAATTTCACTTTTTCCCCCGTTTTCATGTGATTGAAAGTGTAGCAAAATATTTTGACAAAACTCACGTTTTGACAAAACTCTTTTTAATTAAGTTGCTCGATGTGGGCCGATAAATTACGCCGATAAATTGTTTTAAATTTCTATCATGGAGGTTATTTTCAAAAATCCAAAATTGTCCTGCTATTCATCTATAAAGTATTGGATGGAAGAATTGAATATACTCTGGCCTTGGTTACAACCCTTCCATGTAGTTATTGGGTCGTGGCTAAAGGGGATAGACTATAGTGGCAGGTTTTCGGGATGGCCTGGGCAATACAATCAAAATAAGATGCATGTTAACAATGTGATCATATTACATATTTTTGTGAAATTCGTTTGGTAATTAAACAGAACTGCTCTGCCTCGGTTTTTTGTCTATTTCAGATCACATAATTTTCATTTCTTCATCACTCAGATTTGTCGTTATGCATTTTTTGGATCAATTGAAGTATACGACCTCCATAACATAAATTAGTTCTCTAACGAACTGCCTCGGTCTTTGATAAACCCTATTTAATTTACTAAAAACACTTTTAATTCATGAACTAGATCATTCATGTGCAAAAATAAGTAGAAGTAACTTATGGGGGATCGGGGGGAGCCTTTCTCACGATGACATCATGACGAATATCCGCCATTTTTGGGTGGCATCTAATTCTCGTTAACCAATGCAGATAATTAAAACAATGTGAAAAGCATTTTGTCAAAATAAACTAACCATTTACAAAGCAAATTTACCATCATTCGTCAAAAAAATTTAAAAAAGTCGCTGTTATGTGGACTTATCTCTCAGACGTCGGCTGAAAAGCCACCCAAAAATGGCGGCGTACGAAAGGCTAATTGATCCATTTTTTATTCAAATTTATACAAAATGCATAAGACGTGAATACCACATGATTGAAACTTGTATAGGTAACCGAAGAGCTCTACTGCTTTATTCTATCCGCCATCCATTTAATTTATATATTCTGTAATGTGATTTACATGTATTTTTGTTTACTCTCTATCCATCTGATTGGTTTATTTTTTGTCACGTGACCGCCTTTATATTCACTAGTATAAAAAGCTCATGTAATTTTCCCGATCCCCGCTACTAACTTCTTTAAAGTGTCTTCGCTCGAAACGTCGAAGTTCTCCTTGCATTTTTCAGGTAATTGCATCGCTATTAATCCGCAGCTTTCTCGTTTAATTTTACTCCCTGCATGGCGAAATTTGAAAGTCCAACTAATCATATCAATATAGGGAGTGTTCGACCACATACATGGGCAGCATTTAGGTCAGGAACCCGTCAACTAATATAAAAACGATTATAAATATAGTTAATTATGGATAAAAATAGAAAGGCCATTTCCGATGTTATTCATTATTCTCATCATGTGGTATATACACTGTTCTGTATATGGTAACTATCTGACCTTTTTAGTTCGTGAACCCGAGAGAATAAGTGGGCATTAAATGTGCAAAAGACATTTCACAGCAATTCAGTTTAAAAATTAACAAATGCATTTAGTATAGTAAATAAAAAATCTGCACAGAAGAATTGACGAGAATGGACGAATAGTGAAAACTACAAATTAAATTTGCATTGATTGCTGGCAGACAATTCATCAAAAGTGGTTATCGAGACATCTGTGGGATACTTTTGCTGTATTGAAATAAAATAAATTATTTCACAATATTTATTTCTCTCTCCGTACTCGCGGAAAAATATTAAATTAATATTACAATTAAGACCAACATTATTAATTATACTGGATCAGGATGCGTACAAAAAGATAATAGTAGATCGGTTTTTTATTGCTATGTTCAGCGATCTCAATAACAAATAAAATTAATACCCATCGTCATGCCCATTCCTCTCGTTCTAACCAGTCCAAACAGCCCAGTGAGCTCCATCCTCGTTCCCCGGGGCTCTCGGCCGCGCGCGAAGTGACCGAGTAAAAATGGCTCTGGGGACAAGAATGAGTGAGCTCTAAAAACTCGTTTCCCATCCTCGTTCCCAGGGCTTCTCGGCTGCCTGTAGCCGAGAAGCGCTGGGAACGAGGATGCTCGTTTCCAAAATGCGAAGATGTTGCAAATTAGTCTTTCTTACGATGACGAATATCCGCCATTTTTGGGTGGTATCTAATTCTCGTTAACCAATGCAGACAATTAAAACAATGTGAAAAGCAATTTTTCAAAATAAATTAACCATTTACAGAGCAAATTTACCATCACTCGTCCAAAACATTAAAAAAGTCGCTGGTATGTGGACTTATCTCGCAGACTTCGGCTGAAAAGCCACCCAAAAATGGCGGCGTGAGAAAGGCTAATTGACGTGCAGTGCCAGCAAAAGGCGCAGAGAGTTTCATGTTTTGACTTATTGAAGTGAAATATTATGGTTTTATGATCTGATAACCTTACTAGTGATACAATTCGTAGGAAAATCTGAATTTAGCTGGCAAATGGTATCAAAACTGTTTACGACCTTCGTAGATTTGGACGTCAAATTGCGCAAGCAAAAGCTTAATTTCTTTCATAGGTTGAATGACAGAAGTTCTAGTACTACAGATATTGTAACTGATCTATTTTAAAGCATACTAAATCTTAAAAATAATAAAAATTACTGAATATTATATATAGAAACTAAATAGCCGGTGTGGACTTGTCATTATTTCATAATTTGTAATTATATTGGAATATAAAACTAAATAAATGTGACTTCTTTCAAAGAAAACAATTTTAGTTTCCACTTCAAATACCTTTCACGATAAAATTAAGAGCCCCTTGAACTCATAAAAAAACTTTTTGTCATGGCAATTTAGACTTTCACAAAGTCCTTTACTTTTTACCAAACAACAAAGACGAATAAATTTCTGGTGGCACCAGTCTTCTGCGACAAACTCAACAATCATTTAACTGGCAGTATTTCATTTCCCGACCCTTGACTCCTGACACAAATAATGTCTTTCAGTAAAATCCATCTCAAATATGTTGGGTGTTGCATTGTCAGACCGACTGTCACCGAACACAAGGCTCATCCACTTATACGAAAATAACTATACCGAGAATGCTGGGAGTCAGCAATTATTAATAAATATTATGATAGGAATTATTGCTTGAGATGCTTTATGCCGTGGTGTGTGTGTGTGTGTGTGTGTGTGTGTGTGTGTGTGTGTGTGTGTGTGTGTGTGTGTGTGTGTGTGTGTGTGTGTGTGGTGTGGTGTGTGTGTGTGTGTGTGGGGGGCAGCCTCAGCTCTCCTTGTTAGAATTCCATGTTAATCTGGGAGGGTGGGGGTTGAGTCCCTCTATGCATATCTTAGTCAAGAAGTTCGAATTCTTTGGAACTGTACTGAAAGGTTTTTTTTGCTATTTTTACTAATAATCACCTGATCACTTTGATCCTGCTGTTGATCATACTGTTGACCAAAATTCCATTTAAATCTTATAGATTCATTAGGACCTATAAACCAGGATCGGTTGGGAAAATGCAACTATTGGCCCTCTGAGGTTCGAGATTCCTGCCAGAGAGCCTACATAGATGAATTTTTCCAACTGCTCCTGGTTAGATTTAATAAATGTATATAGGATTTACACTCGAAATTTCCATCAAGGAAACGTTTCAACAATGTATTTGTTTTGTCAGATATTCAATTAAAAATTCGATAAAATTGATCTATTTTGGTGTTATGTAAAACGAATGTTTATATTCCGTGCAATAGTAAAAATATTTTCGCGAGGTAGAATTTTCCATCTTTCACCTCAAGAAAATATTTTTTACCACTGCACTCATAAACATTCATTATTTGTATAATATTTCACTTGATGCCACATGATATACAGTCCTTCCAAAAACTTAAAGCTTAAGTTAAACTCTGAGCGCGCAAGGAATGATGGGTTATAGCTTATTTAGACTCGTAAACTTTGAAATTTGGCTTTGCAAGAATACCTAAGACATATAGAAGATTCACGACAGAAAACATACTTGCTGTAAAAGGAATTTTCCTGAGTTTAAGGGCCTAATACGTGAAAATCTCTCTTCCCTTGCGCGCTCAGAGTTTAAGGTTTTGGAAGGACAATCTTAATTGAATCAGCTGTATACAACGTTAATATACTTGAATACGTTAAAATAAGAGTAATATACAAGTTACAATGTTAGTATGCGAGTTATGGTTTGAACAAAGCCATAGTAATGAGGACATAAGAAAGTTTCCGGCGTGCATGGAGAAACGGTATCCAAGAACCTACGTATAACTTATCGAACTATAGATATTTTAGGCAGCTTAGAATTATTTTGCCTCAGATCCCTTATCAATTGGACAATGCAGAGATGCTTAAATTACAGAAAAATTAATTTATCCATCACAACTAAAAACACCAAAACCACCATGAAGAGATTTTTAAAGATGTTTTTATAGTAAGTATATAAACACTTTAATAAATATTTATCTCTTAAACATTTCTTAATTGAAAATGATCGTTGAGTCTCAACAAAGACAAAATTCAAAGCCAAAGGCGTCTTAAAACGTAAAAGAACGTTTTAAGATTCGAACAACGGAAATTACTATCAATTATTTTTATCATCGCGTTGGGCATTTATGGGACAAAGGAGAAATCTATAAACCTCATTAACATGCACTTTACTTCTTCTATCACGTTTAGGGGTTCTAGATTTTGGGAGATTAATTAAATTAAATGATGGTCGCCTAGATCCACCTTATCCGCATGACAATTTTGTGGTATTTCAGTTGTATTTCAAAACTGACTGCATGGTTAATATACAGGCGTGCACGAGACCCTGTGATTTTATTATAATTTCGTACATATTGAGTATTTCAAGCTATGCATGAAAGCTGTCCGGTGTTTGTATTGCTGTATACAAAGACCGAATCTCTTTCTTGTGGCTTACCAAAAGATTCAACAGCCTGGTTTAATATTGTCTTGTGCGGGTTCGTGCATGCATGCAAACGCCCACAGAAAACCACTTATCAGAGTAGTGGCCTGTTTCGGCCAGTTTTGAAAAGATAATGATTTTGTGATTATGGATGATTTTGTCATTATGGATGATAATTATATAAGGAATTTAAAGCAAGTAGAAGATCAACCTTCGGAGCACGACCTAACAAGCTAGTGTATAAACCATCACAAATTAAAGTTTTAAAATAACTTTAGTATATATTTTTAGTATATATGAAGGTTACAAGGTTATCAATAATTATTAAATGTAATCTTATCATTGCCGGTTTATGGCATTATGAATACAGAGCTTATTCTGACCACAAAAATATTTCGTCGATGTGGGCCTAGCCTCCTCCGCAGCCATTTCTTAGGGTTACCCTTACTCTATAAGAGATTCCTGCGGAGAAGCCTCATTTTTGCCATTATGCTCAGCTATACTTTGTGTGCAAGAGGGTTGAGGGGGGGGGGGAGATTCCGGGGGGGGGAGGGGGTATAAGTCACATAAAAGAAAACAATACAATCTATATATTTGAAGACCTAATAAAATATAATGCTTTATCATTGTTCGCCGCGCTGCCCTTTAAATGCAATTTCAATCGTATATTTGTCGAATATCTCTAACCAAAACACATGCGTTATTCTCTGCGCAAGTACCGGTCGAAATTGCCTGAAATAGACCGTGTTTACAACTTGTACTATAAAGTCATTAGAAGTGAGCGTGTATACGTATACGACGCTAAGCTTCGTGACGCGCACATTCAAACAAAACATATTTATTTTCAAATTAACAAAATACAAAACAAGTGTAACTCCAAAGATCGATAACATCTTTATATTTATAAAAATGTTATGAAATGTATATAAACCTATATAAATATACAGTAACATTTAGCAACCGTACCGGTCAGAATTAACCGAGTACTAAAAAAACAGTTTTTGTTTATAAACAATACCTGAATTATTTTTTATACACTAGGATTACTTAAAATCCAGTAGTATATGATTGATTGGGACGCGAAGCTCAGACGCGGCTATCGAAACAACTGCGTTCCATTTTGTGGCGAGAAATAACAGGGATGCGTCAAGGCAATGTGCAGTACACTAGTCAATACTAAATATTGTACATTTCTCTTCCCACATTTAAATTTGAACTGTCTTTGGTTGTTTTTTATTTGGATTCGTGAAATCGTACTTTTATTGATTTCAAGTAAAATATTATGTTTTGGAAGGAATCGCGCTATATAACTCTAAAAATAGAGATTTAGTTTAGATTTAGTATATAGACACTTTCCAAATTTGCTGGAGTGCACACGAAACAGTAGCTTGAAATGGACGTGGACAATGTAATCCACTGTAAATAAATAGTTTTCATGTCTATTTACGCCCTGAAAATCTCAATGGCATTTTTGTCAATTTGAAGATTAACACTATCTCAATCAAAAGCTAAAATATTTCTGATCTTCCTTATGTTTTTCACGCACGACAGTCTATAAATATCTGCTTTCAGAAAAAAAAGTTGAAGTGAAAAATGTCATGTTGACAACATTTCTTGTGGATCGCCTATACAGTAGTTTTCTATAAATCCAATGTCCTTATCTCAGTTCTCTAACTAATGACTATTCGAAAAATAATAATATTTTTAATGTACTACAACAATATGAGCGGGAATATAATAAGTTGGGAAGGAATTGTTGTTTCTCTTTTCTGACCAGCTAGTTGTTTGTCTGCATCGACAGGTCCGTGTGTTTATTGTTGTTTCGGTTGAGAATTCCTCTATTGATCAGAATATTGATGATACAGTTACTACTATTGCAACCAATTCAATATATATATGCATGTCTATACGATTGCCCTTTATTTTATTGAGCTTACACGTTTATTGAATATACAATTAGTTGCATCAATGATGCAAAAGTAAATGTTTGTGAATGGAAAGTTAAGGCTTCGATTCACTGATATATATATCAGTGTTTTGATTAAAAGAACGCAAGAGTTGTACTTGTCTGTACTTCACACGTAAAGTATCAGTAAAAATTGAAAATAAAAATTGCACCAATTAAGGTCGAGGAAAATAATTTTGGATAGTTCGAAATCTATTAATCATTATAATTATTCATTGGTGATTTAATTAGGTCAATATAAATATAATGTCAAACCATTTTCATCATTGTAATTCTTTAAGTAAGGATTTCATTTCTTCAAAGATATTGGAAACCAAGGCGTGGTCACTGGATTTCGCATCAACTGTGATGTTCGTTTCACTCTGGAAGCAAAAATTAACCGCACCAAAATTGAATCAGTGATATATACTTGAATAAATATCATATAGAACCGCACCAAACCACACGAGTGTTGATATAACTGTATATCAATACGGAAAAATGTTTTATATTCTTTTTATAATATAGCACAAAGAAATATAAAGAAAGAAATTTTCCGTGTTGACATTGAGTTATATCAACACGGCTGTTAGCCAATCAGCGTTCAGAATTTACAAATGCTATATTATAAATACTTGTAAATCATATAGAAGCATTTCAGTATTTGTGGGCATCTCGCTCGATAGAACTAACAGTTGGGTTTTTGTTGATGGAAATTTAGAGCGGAAGATTATATATCGAGCGAGATGGCAAAAAAATCTCGATATTTACCCTGGGATTACCCTATTCCTTATACTGGGATCACCACCCACTATACAAGAACATTAACAATTACTCAGTTAGGCTTGTAATCACCGACTGATTGTTTTGGTGTAATTTCAGTATTGAAAAACTTTTATTTGATAAAAATAGAACTACTACACGTGTTTATTTTATGAATATAATTTGCATAAATAATTTACTTCCGTCTGATTTTCAGCCATTTTTTGGGGAAAAGCAATAGTTACTCTGAGTGTATATCCACACCGGGCGAGCTTGAAAAATATGCCTGGCCACGGTGGGAATCGAACCTACGACCTTTGGAATACTAGCCCACAAACATATTATTCACCTGAGTATACACAACACCAACACAGAAAAAATCAATAGTTACTGTTCAGAGCAGTCTGAGCCGTAACTATTGCCTCAGGGTTACTGCTGAGGGAGCTAATCAGAATGCTCAAAGGTCATTTTTCAACACTGAAATTATACTAATTGCGGTTACTCTGTAGCTAAGTTGGTTAAAGCGCTGCACCGGAATCGCAGAGCCGCCGGTTCGATTCCTGCCAGAGGGCCTGCTCATGGGTTAGGTCTAAAATTGTATATAATCTTCCGCTCGAAATTCTCAGGCATTGCATCATACAAAGAACGCAATTGAACGCAGAACGGTTTCTGGTGGGAATTAGAACCGAGCCATGGAATAAAAACCTGAGACTGGAGCATATATGAACTGTACTTCCAACGGCTGAAGGATTTATTATGCACAGGAATGAACGGATGGGAAATAGCCCCAACATGAAAAATGCAATATTTGTCATTAAGGAATCAGGGCACGTGAATTCATGGGCTCACAACACCGACTCCAAATCACCGTAAATTCCAAATTACTCAACAGTTGAAGATCTTTATGCCTCCCAGGGATTTGAGCTAAACTTTGTCACCGGATTGCGAAGGGTCACGACTCACGAGAGTGCATAAAATACGTTTGTAAACGGTACAAAGGTTTACCAGTTATCTAACAAACAGTTTGTATAGGTATAGTAGTATATGGTTTCGAGTGCAATTTGGAAAAATCATGAACGGGTGAGATTTTCAAACACGGTGATGCAATGCACATGAAAAAATTACACGCTTTGATAACACCTGTGAACTCACCTACAACATTTTCATTGCAAAGGCAAACGTTTTCAGTCGATGAAAGTGTACAAAAAGTAGTCAAAAAAGTTCAAGCTGACATGCTAATATCTTCGGCCATGTTGATTTTTCCTGCCTCGCTTCCAAGCTCTGCTTTTATGTTTTTGATTGCACTGCACTCTTTGCTAATCAGAATTGAGTATTTTTTCATGTGCATTATTGGGTAGATAACACAACTTACTCTTTTAACAAGGAAGCACAAGTTATCTTGTAGAATTGATCGTCCAAATAATGATGCACTGTTATCAACACGTTCAACAACTAAAGAAGATGACGAGAAGAATGATTGAGCACAATAATACAAAAAGGTAACACAAAGCTACGTATAGCAGTATACTTCATGTTGTTCATGACCGACTATTAGAGTGTTGGTTTGATAGTTCATCTTGCCAATCTGGCGAGTTTAGCTTAGGTCTCTATTAGAGGTGTGCAAATCCGATCCGAAACGGCCAGGCCTCGAATTTAGCGGCGGCCACTGGCCGTCGATGCCCTGCTTGTTGGCCGCTATGCCCTCGAAATATACTGAAATCCACGGCCAGTAGTGGCCTGCCCTCAACCACAGAGTACAGTATATACTTAAGCTTTAGAATACCAAGTGTATGATTTGTAAAATTTGCAATAATCACTTATCACACACAAGAGGCAATTTTTTTCAATGTCACGTATTTGCGCAAAGCTTGAGCAAAACTTACTGAATTTCAGACATCATTTTCTCTTCGGCGTATCATCTAAAATCTCTTCATTTTAACATTATGTTACAGATAAAGCACTAAACGTACTTTTTAAGTTTGTTTGCCGCTTGAAAACGCATAGAAAAATAAAAATTTTGAATTTAGAGGTAGTTACGATACATGTAACTATGATATGAATAGTTTCATTTGGCATTTTTTTACTAATATTGTTGCTGTTCTGTATATTTTTGTTTTCTCATGGAAGCTCAAACGTTATTTGAAACTTCAAAATAGCAACTGAATAAAATTTTCAAACTGGCCTTGATGCCCTGAATGATGCCCTGTATACTACTGGCCTTGCCTTTATTTTTCCCAAATTCGAGGCCTGGAAACCGATCCGAATTCGATTCGTTCTGATTTCGGAACCAAAATATTCATATCGGATTGATAAAATTGTTTCGTAGTCGGATCGGATTGGACTCCGATATCCGAAATAAAATGAATTAATTATCCACGCATTATCGCAAGAATTAATTATCCATGCATTTATCAAAGCATTATCGCGGTTCTCGCTGCATTATTCGTTTGATACTTCAATTGGACATCACTTTGTCAGCTTCTTGACACGTATTTCTGCTTTTATATTTATTTGGTTAAATATTTCAACTTGAATGAGAAATTTATTTTATTAAAGAATTCTTCGGATCGGATCGGATTGGAATTCTTTATCAAAACTCGGATCGGATTCGGATTAGACAATTTCGGATCGGATTTTAAACATTAGCCAATAGACCATATGTATAATGACGTCACAAAGCTTGATGCCCGCGAGTTATGCTGGTCTTAGTAGTCATCGCCCGGGAAAATTAAACAATTCAAAATGGCCACTATCGAAATTTTCCCAGGCAATGACTACTAAGACCAGCATTCCTCGCGGGCATCAAGCCTTGTGACGTCATTATGCATACGGTTTATTGTCGGATTATAAACGTCCAATCCGATCCGATGCACACCTCTTGTCTCTATACATTAAAAACACTATGGTCAAAATTTCCTCATTAATCTAGAAATAACACTATTTTGGTTAACTTAAATATTCCTGGTTAAATTTCGTGGTTAATATTTTATCTCACTTCCAACCATAGCCTGGTTAATGTAATCAGTTAAAATAACTAGACTATAGATATGTGGATAAACAACAAGGGCTCCCTGGTTATTCCTTCACCACTCTGGTTAATTTAACCAGTAGAAAACCGGTGTGGATATACACTCAGAGTAACATCACAAACATCATAATCACCTGAGTACACAACTCGTATCACTTACTCGAACCGACCTGACCGCGTAGCTCAGTTGGCAGAGCATTGGGCTAGTATTCCAAAGGTCGTAGGTTCGATTCCCACCGTGTCCGCGCATATTTTTCAAGCTCGCCCGGTGTGGATATACACTCAGAGTAACATCACAAACATCAGTAGAAAAAAGGTTAAAATAAACAGGAAATTTAACCAGGAATATAGAATTATTCAAGCTTGAAGGGTATTGCTAAAAATGCACCCTGGAAGGAATCGAACCTGCGATTCCGGTGCAGCGCTCTAACCAACTGAGCTACAGATGCCAGTTGTCGAACTCTAACCAACTGAGCTACAGATGCCAGTTGTCCAGCTCTAACCAACTGAGCTACAGATGCCAGTTGTCGAGCTCTAACCAACTGAGCTACAGATGCCAGTTGTCCAGCTCTAACCAACTGAGCTACAGATGCCAGTTGTCGAACTCTAACCAACTGAGCTACAGATGCCAGTTGTCCAGCTCTAACCAACTGAGCTACAG